TGTGAACATATTTGACCAGTGTGTTTTCATGGATTTTATTATTTGGTATGGTGATATCGATTCGTTTCTGTTCCCCCATGCACGCTTGCTCTGTTTTGATGCTTATTGTTAGGTAGATATTTCAGAAGTGAACTGTGATCTGGGATTTGCTTTAAAACTGTCCTGAAGTGTTGGCCAGAATAGTTTTTGACCCAGGATGGATATTCATATGAAGGGGGTAAATCAGGAGGGGCCCAAGAGGAGTCCACATTAGACTCCACACTACTTTTTTCCAATCAGCATGGCCAGTGAGTAAGGCAGGAGCTGGATCCAGGAATCAGGTCAAAGTAACGGAGGCCTTGAAGATGTAGCAGCAGTGGACAATAGGCAAGGCAAGGCAAGGCAAGTTTATTTGTATAGCACAATTCATATACAAGGCAACTCAAAGTGCTGAACAAGATAGCATTAAAATCATAAAAAATCACAGAACATTAAAACGAAAGATAAAAATATAAAATCCCTCAGTTGTATGCACAGCTAAACAGAACCGTTTTAAACTTGGTTTTAAACATTGTCAGAGAGGAGGCCTGTCTCACATCTTCAGGAAGATTGTTCCAGATTTTAGCAGCATGAATCTGAAAAGCAGCCTCCCCATGTTTAGTTCTGACTCTGGGCACTAACAGGAGTCCAGTCCCTGTGCTCCTCAGAGTCCGGGCTGGTTCATATGGGACTAACATGTCACTAATATATTTTGGTGCGAGGCCATGGAGAGACTTGTACACAAGCAGAGCTGTTTTAAAGTCTATTCTCTGAGCCACAGGAAGCCAGTGCAGAGACCTGAGGATTGGACTAATGTGGTCATACTTCCTGGTTCTAGTCAGGACTCGAGCTGCTGCATTTTGAATGTACTGCAGCTGTTTTACAGCCTGTTTGGACAGACCTGTGAGCAGGCCATTGCAGTAGTCTAACCTACTGGAGACAAATGCATGGATAAGAATCTCCAAGTCTGCTTTAGACACAATGTTTTTGATCCTGGCAATGTTTTTTAGATGGTAAGCTTTTAGATGGGAAGCTGCTGATGTTACTGATTTGATGTGGCTATTAAAATTTAAGTCTGAGTCCAGTATTACCCCTAGATTTCTGACCTTGTTTGAAGCTTTTAGGGATAGAGACTGTAGATGACAGAGGACGCTCTCTCTTTGTTTCTGGGGACCAAAGACAATCATTTCAGTTTTGTCTGCGTTTAGCTGAAGGAAGTTGTTTTGCATCCACTCACTGATCTGTTGGATACAGTGAAGGAGTGAGTCCACTGGTCCATGTTCTCCTGCAGTCAGTGAGACATAGATCTGAGTGTCGTCTGCATAGTTGTGATAGGACACTTTATTTCTGCGTATTAACTGACCTAACGGCAGCATGTAGAGATTGAACAGAAGAGGTCTCAGGATCGACCCCTGTGGGACTCCACAGGTCAGGGCCATATGATCTGAGACACAGTTTCCAATCTCCACAAAGTACTTCCTGTCTTCAAGGTGAGACCTAAACCAACTTAGGGCGGTGCCAGCGACGCCAACCCAGTCCTCTAATCTCTGTAAGAGGATCTCATGGTCGACAATAACAATAATAACAAATAGTTGCTTCTCAGCAGGTCCTGGGTTGGAATCCTGGTCGGAAGAGGGCCTTTCTGATTGGAGTTTGCATGTTCTCCCTTTGTCTGCGTAGGTTTCCTCTGGGTGCTCCGGTTTCCCCTGCCACTAAAAACATGCACAATAGGAATGAATGTAAATGAGAGAGTGAATGGATGGCGTTGGTCGGGGCTTTGTTGCGACTTGTTGTGGAAATCTGAATAATGTGGACTATGTATGATGAGAAACTGATGTATGTGAACTTTGTGTGTTAATGTATCATCTGAATGTATGGTTGTGACATGTGACTGAGTATAGATGTATTGTGCATGTGTGATGCTGGGAATGAGGTGTGGTTTTAACAAACAGGTATGAGGCTAAAGGCTAAATGTGTGTGTCTGACTCAGAGAGTGTGTTGTAATGTGATGTTATTTCTATTGGATTGTATATTACTGTATCCATGTATTTTATTTATGTAACCAGGGACTGCAGATGGAAACTAGCTGTTTAGCTATAATCTGGTGCAGAACATATCTGTCTTCGAGCTTAATGTCTCTGTACATTGGCCCTCATTTATGAAGCTTGCGTACGGCCAAATCAGGGTGCAAATGAGGCGTACGCAAAAAATGTACACTTTTCCGCATTTATCAATCTGGACGTGAGCGTATGATACGCAAAAAATATACACCAGGTCAGGAGGTGGTGTAAATGTATACACTCATCTCAACCTTCGGCACAAAACGCCAAAACACGCATGAAATTTAAGATTTGGACAACAATAACCTTATTCCCACTCTTGCAAAATTATAAGCTGTGTTTTCATTGAGCATCATGTTTCAAAATTTGAATTTGCGCATCAGAAAAACTCTAAGGGAAACACGCAAACTTCGAATAAATCACAGATCATATAGAGGACCCTCTTCTGTTTCTTTGATTTTAAATCTGACTTGTGTGTGTATTATTTTGATCTGTATGTTTTTTAAATGTGAAGCGCTTTGTGATTCTGGACAGTGAAAGGCTCTAAATACACTTTACGCAACAGGGATGTGTGACCCATCTATTGTTTTGTAATCTGCAGGCTCTGCGCTGCGTAATTACGCATGGCTATCTGTTTTTCCTCATTCACATCTGGTAAAGCAATGTATGTTTTCATTAGATTTGTGTACGCCTCACACAGACACACATCCCATAAACGCACCGATGGATGGTATTGCTCACTCCAAATGTCTCACTGCTCTGTCCAGAGTGCGCAGCGGGTGCCGTGAGAGGTCGCACCGCATAACTCCTGTCATTCAGAAGTTTTGGCTCCAGAGTTTCTCTGTGAAATCTGGACCGCAAACGCTCTCTCAAGTGTAAAGCGCTTCAATGCGCACTCCTACCCCGAGCCAGGCTGCGTCCAAGACGCTGCAGACGCTGCAGACGCTGCAGACGCTGCAGACGCTTCATTGATGAGAGCCACCGCTGCATAATATATATGAATTCATTCATTCATTCTTTATCTATTCACTTCTACAATTCAATTCATGTATCAAAACGTTTTTGCAAATTTGTTCAAAACGCAGCTGAATATAGCGTATATTTATTTGTACATAAACATGAACAAACAAACGTGCCTTTTGAGGCTTTCAGTCTTTTTGGCCGGCTTCCTGCTGACCTGTGGCAAAAACGGGCGTGAAACACGCAATTGCTGCATAATTCTAGGCGTGACTTTCTTAAATACGTTCTTTTTCAGCCGCAGGATTTATGGACATCCGCAGGTGCGTGCGCACAGATCTGGGTGCATCTCACACGTTCATAAATCCGTTGTTGGATCTTGCGATTTAAATGGAATATACACCCAAAATATACACTTTTTTCTGCACAACTTTCATACATGAGGGCCAATGTCCCTTCAAATAAAGACTAAACTAAACTATAATTGTAAAGTGCTTTGGGTGACCTTGGTCTGTAAAATGTCCTATATAAATAAACATTGCTTACTTATTTACTAATAGTTGTGTTCAGTGTGAACGCCACAACAAATATAACCGTAATTTAGACAGCAATTAAACAAAAGTGTTTAATCGGCTGTTACATATATGTGGGAGAAGATAATAAAACATAATTCACACAAGTCAATACTTTTTACCATGATAAAAGCTTGACATGCCGTGAAACTCTTTCTGTCAAACTTTAGGCATTTGCATATGCTACGTTGGTTTTTAAAAGGACAAAAAATACTTGACTGTCTGCAGATGACCACTGCCACCTCTTCTAGAACAGCATGCAGAAAGGTAGGAAGGTACAGTGATGAAGCAGGACCAAAAGTGGTCAACAAACACCTGGAAGTGCTTTTACTTTGGATAGACTACTAAAGGAATCGATCTGTTGGAGGCATGGATCTATTATAATAACTGGATAGGGTATTACTAGCTTGTAGCTGAATAACTCATGTGCTCAGGGGATTCTCGCGGTACTGCAGACTGAACCAGACAAAATTCACGTGGGCTACCCAGAAATTTTCCCCATAGGACTCAATGCATATTAAAACAGCTCGACCTCAGCTGACAGAGAACCTACAGCTTTCATAAAGGTCGGATTTTGTGGGAATTTTAGTGTCCCTTATCATCCTGAACTTTTTTTCTTCTTAAATCCAACAACTTTGTTTAAATCCACACTTTAGTGCCACAAACTCTGCAAGTCTGGCTCTCGCTCTAACTCCCGCTCTGATGAACTGCTCTGATTGGTCAGAGCGCAGCCGAGCCCCTCTGTGCACGTGTGTGAGACCCACACACGTGTGTTTGGCGCAACGCATTATGGGAGATCATCCACTGCGCAGAACCGGGAGGACCAGACGATGCCCAAATACAGGCGAGTTTCCCATAGATCTTTGCGAGTTCCAGGCGACTTCCGCTAATCTTTCAGCCCCCATGCCGTCACAAAGCGCCACTGAGCACAACCATTCATTTGAATAGGGCGCAATCTTGGATCGCCGGGGCTTGGTTGGAGGCCCCATCAAAAGGTAGTTGGAGCTCACTGGATCAAAATTACAAACATACAAAACTATCCCAGAAGATTTAGAGAACTGGCTTTTACTCTATGTAATTTCTCAGGATTCAATATCGATGGATCTCTATAAACCTACATTGGCTCTGGGTGGCACATACAACTATCAAAGTCCTTTATAAATATCTGGATCATGGAACCTGCTGTAAATCCAACCAAGTAGTTTGGTCTTTACTCTCGGTATCTGACTGCAGCTCTATAAGGTACCCTTGTTTCTCACTCTCTCAGTAGGAGTTTGGGTTCTTAAATTCTTGGCTCCAGCAACAGCACCTTGCCCATCTGTCACAGAGCACAGGCTCCATAAACTGGCCAACTTCTCTGAACAACCGCGTGATCCTCTTATGAGTTTTGACCATGGCCTCCCCCCATCAAACAGTCTTCTCCTTACCACCCACTGCACTAGCCTCTGAGTTACCTCTAAAGGCCACTGCCCAGGGCCTTGAGGCGAGCTGCCTCAAGCCATTTGCTTCAGGTAGGACTGAAATGTATGTCAGTACTGTACATTTGACTATAGTCACTGAGGTATACATTCCATGTATAATGTATGTTATAATCCCAGGCTTGGGCTCTCTGGAGCAATTGCGGTACAATGACCACAGACTTTCCGTTGCTTAAAGAGGTGCTCTACATCCTTTCTATTGGGAGTTATTTTTTAATACAAAGAATTAGCCACCAGAGGCTCCAGCACTATTGAGAGCCACAGACTACAGGGAAACCATTCAAAGACCCAGCTGCATCATGGTGTGCAATAATGTAAGTGTGCCATAAAATGCTTAAATCTTAGTCATGCATGTAATTATGTTTCTTCAAAAGAAGCATGCCTTTTTCAACATCATAAAGTCTTTTGTATTATTCCTTTTCGAGTTGAAAGCAAATCATGCTCAAACAAAGGTAATTGTGCCTGTACATTTACAGTAGGAGGTACTGTATTTGGTCCTCAGTCATGTCAGATGTTCTGGGATGAATAAGCAGTTAGAACTGAAACCTCACAAATAAAAGTCATGAATTAAAAGTTGCAAGTGCACACTAAGTTCACAAAATAAACATTAAGATCCTGTATTAAGCATTTGCACTGGAAAAAAAGTACCACACCATAGTACAAATGACATTTTGTACTAAGGTCTGGAGGCGCTCCATGGGGGTCCGTTTACAGATAGGAGGGGTTAACTCCTTTTGCAGATTGAAACGATTGGATCTTAGTTTACCGTGACAAGTCTGCTGTTAGCATTTAGCATTTAGCCTAGCCATCTCCTTTGTTGCTAACGGAGCCTGTGGGGAGTAGCGCCAATTTTTTTTCCAGCGATTACATTTGCTAAACATTACCCTTGCTCCGGCTTCAATTTATTGATAGAACCAGACCGGAATACTTTACTGTCGCATTTTTCGCCATTGCCAAACTACAACCTTCCCATTCGACGCAAACTCTTGACATCACCCACAACTAAGTACAACACCTGCCTTCCGTGCTCTCTGATTGGTCGGTTGAAATCCAACCGATTGTATTCGCTTACACAGGGACTAGACCCAGACGTTACATGCAGGGAAATGATGATTGAACGGAGTGTACGAATGGCTAAGGCCAGGCTAGAAAAAAAGAATACAGTTGTTGATGTCAAAAAGGCCTGCAATGGGTTAGTCCCTGAATGCAGCACTCTATAATTGCTTTTTTTGAGGTGTGAAGTGCACAGTTAACACATTTGTTCATTGCTAACATTTTCTTTCCTTACTTGAACACAAAACCATCCTCTGAACCCACAATTCAAGCTTTTGCCCTCCAGTAGGCATCCTGATGGCCACAAAGTCTGTGTTTAAGAAATCATGTCTGCACAGTTGGATTGCATGAGGGTTAGGGAAATGAAATGAAATGAAAAAAATAAATAAAATAAAACATATACATATTCTAACAGGGCTGATTTCACTCTTGGATGTGTTCCTTCACACTTTTTGCGTTTTATGATGCATTTCCACCCCAGTAGACAATAAAGATAGACTTTATTGATCTCAAACAGGAGAAATTTACATGTCACATCTGGCATGAATAGAGACACTCAAGACAATGTCAATAGCGGTGCGGTTTTTTTCAGTCCTAATGCAAGTTACTTAAAGTGACTTATTGTACAGTCTGACAGCGGTGGGGATAAAGGCCCTGCGGTAGTGCTCCTTCTTACACTGAGGGTGCCTCAGTCTTCCACTGAAGGAGCTTCTCAGCTCCTCTACAGTCCTGTGCAGTGGGTGGGAGGTGTTGTCCATGATGGAGGTGGCTTTGACTACCTGTCCCTCACCTCCTCCACAGAGTCCAGGGGGCAGCCCAGAGTGGAGCTGGCCCTCCTGACCAAATTGTTCAGTCTAAAGTTGTTCATTTCTATCATATTTTCTGTTCAAACACATTTTCTTGACTCTAATTTACTTAGAGAATATATCTTAAAGGACAGTTGTTGTAAGTAAATGACTAACACCAAATCAAAAGACACTATTGTATTTACTGATGCAGATAAGTGTGCACCCGTAGTCAATAGTCTGCCATGCTTGCAATATTGGTGACTTTTTTTTGATAAGTTCAAACTACATTGAGCTCCTACATTAGATACATTGGCTATTGGCTTCTCTATAATTTATATCACATGTCATACTGTCAAGTGCGCCCACATGTTTACTGTCGGGTCTCAAGTCTGCCCTTTCTCACCTATTTTCTGGTGCACTGTGGCAAACATTGATCTGTACAGTCTGTACTATTGTATTCTCAAACATGCAAACACTCCACACAAGTCTGTCTAGTTGACATTTGCATGTCTTTCCCGCATGAATAAGAGAATTGAGGTGGTGGCTGGAGGGGCTTTGAAGGGACTTCCACAAAGTACTTTGAGAGACTTACTGTATGTAAAGCATATTGCACGTGCAAGGCTCTATTACTCTTGTTTTTGCAGAGTGAATAATTGATAAATTAACTTACTTCCTTTTGAGATTGAGAAACCCAAGAACATAAAATTAAGACAAATGTATTATATATATTATCTATTATTATACTATTTATCTGTAAAATGTGGTAAAATGTCAGATAGTTGCTGTTGCTCTGCTGCTAAATTGCACCACTACCTTTTACTCCACTGTTTAAATGCATGGTCTGCAATCAATCCCACATCAACACAATTTGTGCGACCTTGTCCTTGCCCCCTGCTTTCCTCCTGCTGCGCTCATACATACCTGCTGCGTCCCACTCTCCTTGACCCACTAAACCCACTGAGCAGCCTTTTCCTCTAAAGGACCTGGGATCTTTTACTCTGTCAGACAGAGCAGCGTGTGACCATCTCTCACTTACAGTACATGACTGAAATGAGAGACTTGTGGTGAACTATTGGTAAAAGACTATATACTGCTTCCTCATTTGTAGAAACTAATGTCTTTCCCATTTTCATTCAACTTGTCTATATCATCATCACTTCCACATCCAATAGCAAATACCATTATAGCTCACATACTGTATGTCTATTCTATAGTTCTATATGTTTCTTTAGTTCACGCACCCTCCATTCCAAAATGTAATTTCACTCTTGTACATTATTTGTTTTGTGGTGCTTGTTCCAATCAGTGTGTAGGGTGTTTTCTTCTTACGTGAAATTTAAGCTGGTGAATCTGGTAGGACTACAGTCATGTGAATACATGTATTGCAATCTTTACACATTGTGTAAATTATCCTGTCATCCATGCACCTTGTGATGACAGAATCTAATGTCACTAATGCCATTAGTTTTAGCAGGTCGCATTTACCTCTTCAAATGCTCCAACCCGCCTATCAGTGTACATTATCACACTTGGAATAATGTGCAATTAAGGGTGTATCCCATTAACCAAATGAACTCCTGAGCTCCCTCCCTAATAAGAGGTCATTAAAACAGCCACCTTCACGGCTCAGTTAAGAAAAGAGAATGTCTCCAAATTCCTACTGCTTTGGACCACTTCTGTGTTCCCTGTGTGAGCCAATAATGTGAACAGGTAGATCTCATTATTACTGCAGAGGTCAGTCAAGTGTGTGACTGCTGGCTCTAATGACTTGACTTTTCATCTGCAATGCAGAAAGTGAAGGCAGCGGATTTAAAGGACCATGATCCATAGCAATGACACAGACCTGGTGTTACTGGTTTGTAGTAGCTGGTCACTACTTGTGACTAATATAGATTGGTTATGTGTTGTTCTGGTAAGTTGTGACATTGGGAAATCCATCAAGCTGCTAAGTTTGCTTTGTGCGGTTGAGCAACAACAAATCAATCACCATACCTCTGATGTCTATAACCTTTGCAAGTGCCATAGTCACACAAAGGCTTTCATTGATCAGTGAATATCAAACAGTGAATGTGAGAGCACTAGTTCAGGGTCAAAGGCTGTAAGCTTGGATCTCTGCACTCAATATTCTAATGTTGTGTCTCATCGAATCAAATCTCTCAATCTGATGTATGGAAACAGATTGTTTTACTTATAACACAAACTCCTCCATCAGACTAACGTCAATATTAAACCAAAGTTAAAGGAATAGTTTGCCGTTTTTACATACTGACATATGTTCTTACCTTACCTTAGACTAGTTAATATGTACCTGTCTGGTCTTAGTCCGTGCGCTCTGTCATGCAAACGGAGCAAAAACGGGAGCACAAACGCAGCCTCCTCTGTATACTGTGTAGGACCAAAAGGTAGCTCCCGCTAGAAGCTACCAAACTCTTCCAAGTGTTCCCTATTAAATGTATATAGTTACGTGACGTGTTACACTGCAAAGTATAGTAACACAGAAATGTAACAGTCGATTTTCTCAGCGGATAAAACGGGTACTATATTGTGAGGCGTAGTAATCTGAGGAGCGCTACGTCCGCGCACTAACTTCTCTCCGGAGACTTCTCTCTCGCTCACGTCCGTCAATAGAAGCAGCGTGACTTGTAGTACGGAATCATCTACAGCACAAAAAGTTGAAATGTAAAATGTGTGGTGTGGTTTTTCACCAAATAATGGATCAGTCCTAAACACTATAGATAGTGTGGAATAGATTGTATGTGAGAACAATGCATGCAATTGTTTTACATCTGGGATAAGAGGTAGCCCGACTCTCGCCAGACCCTTGTAGTTTGCTGCGCTTCACACAAGTGTCTGGGTCGGCTTCATAGCATATGAATTCCACCGTGCGGGCGGCACGGTGGCTGAGTGGATAGCCTCTCAGCAAGAAGGTCCTGGGTTCGAATCCCGGCCGGACCAGGGCCTTTCTGAGTGGAGTTTGCATGTTCTCCCCGTGTCTGCGTGGGTTTCCTCCGGGTACTCCGGTTTCCCCTACTACTAAAATTATGGGTAACGCTTTATATTAAGGTGTGCTTGTTAAGTATTAAAGCTGCACTAACTGACTTTATTTTTGTATTCATTACAAAAGTGCTATCCATGTCCATATAGTGCATTGGGATATACGTCCTTTTGAAGAAAAAGTAGCGCAGGTTTGTGCTGGCGTGACATTATATTTTAGATCGAGTTTTGATGAAACAAGGAAGAGAATGTGTTTCGGGTCGCAGATTGTGACCAATCACAGCAGACCACTGGCCCCCACTTTCGTGAGAAATCTACAGGTCCGTTAGCACAGACAGCTGAGTTAGCACAACAAGCCGAGGAGCTAACCTGAAGCTTCGTGTGTCTTCATCACCGGTTACTGCTTACACAGCGAGACAGCCATCCAAAAGGAAGTCCCGTTCCTCCGCGCTTCCCGGTTGTATCGTTCTATGGTCACGCCATCCACGTGCAAATCCATATCCATGTATTATCCATATTGCGAGACGCTAGCTCCGTCCCAACAGTGTGTGTGTGTGGGGGGAGATAGCTTCGTGGGTGCGGGGAGGGGAGCAGAAAGAGCGAGGCCAGCGAGTCCCCGGCTTCAAAATCCCAAAGTCAGTTAGTGCAGCTTTAATAAGGTATTAATAGACATTAGCATCATGCTTATAAATGGCTTATATGTACTTATAAACATATTAATAAGCTGCTCATTTCACTATTCTCTAAATGATGTTGTTCTAGTTATATGCTTTTAAGCATTTAATAAGTAATTAGTAAGATACTTATTAAAGGAGGAATATGTTTATAAATATATGAATAAGCTGCTTATTAAACTATTATCGATACCATGTTAATAGGCCACTAACAATATGCCTATAAAGATATTAAGCTGCTTATTAATAGGTAATAGTGGTAATAGGCCACTAAAATATGCGTTAATAAACTGCTTATTACACTATTTTGCAGTACCCTAATCTAAAGCGAGGAGCATTTTTGTTAATGCAGAAAAAAACACAACATTGATCTAAGATGTTTTTATTTATTCAAACAGCAACAATTACAGTCTAAATGAAAAAAAAAATCAAAATGAAGTTTGTGCCAAAAGTTTGTTAGTAACTTCAAGGAGCCATGATGAACCCACTCATGCTCCGACCTGCTCTGTTCATGAATTTAGCTTTTGCAAAACAGTGAATCAACTGACTTCACGAGCCTGAGAGATTAGCAGAACTCGCCTATTTTTGGGCATCGTCTGGTCCTCCCGGTTCTGCGCAGTTGACGAGCTCCCATGATGCTTTGCGCCAAATACGCGTGTGTGGCTGTCATGCACGTGCACATAGGGGCCGCGCTCTGACCAATCAGAGCTGCTGATCAGAGTGGGAGTTACAGCGGGAGTAAGAGCCAGACGAGTAGAGTTTGTGGCAGCAAAATGTGGATTTAAAGAAAACTGAAGGATTTAAGAAGAAAAAAAGTTCAGGATGACAAGGGACACTAAAATCCCCACAAAATCCGACCTTGTGAAAGCTGTAGGTTCTCTGTCAGCTGAGGTCGAGCTGTTTTAGTTTACATTGAGTTCTATGGGACAATTTCTGGATAGCCCTCGTGAATTTAGTCTGCAGTACCACGAGAATACCCCGAGCTACAAGCTAGTAATACCCTATCCAGTTATTATAATAGATCCATGTATACAACGCACCTGTGGCACAACCATGGAACTATAATAATAACTGGATAGTGTTTTCCTAGCTTATAGCTGGGCACAGGGGGCGTTGTGGTACTGCAGACTAAATTCACGAGGGCTACCCAGAAAAAGTCCCACAGAACTCAATGTAAATTAAAACAGCTCGACCTCAGCTGACAGAGAACCTGATAGAGAACCCACAGCTTTCATAAAGTTCGGATTTTCTGGGGATTTTAGTGTCCCTTGTCATCCTGAACTTTTTTTCTTCTTAAATCCTTCAGTTTTCTTTAAAGTGGTTCTCACCCCCGCTCCTCGGAGCTTAAGTCACTCACATTTCCTGTTCAAATCTTCTATGCTGAAGGATGCGGTTTTCCTTGGTGCATGACAACGGGAGGCTAATCTCTTGCTCTTGTCTCTCACAGGTGCCTCATCAAGTGGCTGGAGGTGAGGAAGGTGTGTCCACTGTGCAACATGCCGGTGCTGCAGCTGGCCCAGCAGGCGGGCAGTCCGGAGGGCGCCCTGCCCTCTCCACAGCCCCTGCCCGGGATCGAGAATCTGGTTTAGCGTTCCTCGGCTGCGTATGCTAAACTGCACGACCACAAGAGCGCTGGTCCGAGCAGAGGAAGCGCTGCTCCGGTCACTACACTCTTGTCTAAACAGTTGAACGGATTTTCAACATCATCCCAGACGGTCGTCATTGAGTTTAATTCCTTTCGTACATGGACAATGAAGAAGAATCACTTAGAACAAGCGGTCAAGAGTGTTATATAACCAAAGCACTTTTCTGGGGACGTAAGGGAAAGACCAGAAGGAAAAAACGCAAAAGCCAAGAACATTCACTATTTTAATTAGCACTTTATGAGAAGACATAGCTTAAAATAGATTGTGAAAGTAGTCACCAAGGTATGTTTTTATTTCTTTATATGTGTAGTACCGAGCCACATTGGTTGAACTATTTTCCACTAAAGGGACAGAAAGGCTCAGTTTTTGTAAATGCCACAAAGCTGACAAAAGTTTGAATGTGAGACACTACATATTTAATTCTAATTTAAAATGGAACCATTGATTTCCATTTGTTTTTAGATGACACATAGATCACATTGTGTTTTAGTAAAAGAGCAGTGCAAACAAAATATGATTGAAAAGACATGATATTGATGCAATAAGGATCAGTGCATAAACAATCAGACATGAGATGATTATAGCAACAGGTAATTCATTCACAAATTCATGTTTTGAAGTTTGCCTAGTTCTTTATCTGCACACTGATTTACACAGCAGCCACCAGTCATGACTGAGCACACACATATACACACTTGCGCACAGTCACACACTTAGAATGTCCCAGGCGTTGCATTTATACATGAAATTATGGCTTCAACTATATCTGCCCAGAATGAAGTTGATTAGTTCATTTTTTCTGCTTGATTGCTTCTATTTATTTTGTATTTATTATAGTTTTGTGGTACATGGAGTGTTTCCTTTGGCACGCAATTACTACAGTTTGCATATCGCTGCGCTTGGTCAGCAAATCTTTTGCCGTGTAATTAAACTAGGCCCGGTCCTGTCCATTCTGCCAGAGTGCCGCCAGTCAGCAGGTTGATAAAGGCCTTTTGCTTTGCACTATTGTGCTGCTTTCCCTCTGGTGTGTGGTGGCGTGTTCACACCACATTCTACAGCTACTGATATGTGTTCATGAAAAAGGTTTTATGGTGAACTGAACTGAAGACAAAATACAGTGTTGTTTACTATAATAAGCCACAGTCTCTCAAGTCATATTTCCCAGCTATGTGAGGAAGTTCTTCTGTTTCTATATAACCCAGTCAAATGTGGATTGGAAATATGAATTAACTGGATTAACTGGATTTAAATCTATAACATGAAATGTCTCACAATACGTGTGCCTTTTTATCCATTACATTCTTGAAACACATTTTGAAGAGTTAGGTCAAAGTTGGAGGATGTCTATAAGCTCCTTTGTGTTACAATTTTAACAAAGAAAGTGTGATATCAAAGACACTTTCTCCCCTAAAAAGCCTTATCTGAACAAATTGTGCTGAACAATGTCAGTGTAATCACATACAAAAATGTTATCACTATGTTTGAGACCTCAAGTAAGTAGGAACAAAATGTGACAGATAATGACCATGTTCTAAAGATCATTTTCTTTCTGTATTTTAGTTAAGATATGTTTTTGTTTTCTTTGTTTTTAAATGTGTGTTACGTGTCACTTTGTTGCCATGGATCAATGTAAAGAAGAAAGCGGTACTCGTCACAATGTGATCTATACACTACGTGCACAAAAACAACACTTCTGCTATTGTGATGTGGTTCTCTCCTACTGTTTGTTCCTCTGTGTTTGCCGTCCAGCTTCTTGTTAAAGTGCCAATCTAAAGACTGTTACATTCTGGATATGAAGTAGAAACAGCAGTGCTCAGCTTCTTCCAGGCATAAAAAAGAAAAGAGGAGAGTCATGATGATGATGATGATGAAGCCCATTGACGTCAGCGCTGCGCTGAGTTCCCTCCATTATAAATAGACACTAGAAAAGCCACATCCAATATTCAGTCATAGCCCATGTTCTGAAACTCACTGCCCTGAGCTTTCCTCTTCTAACGAAGACACTGATTCTGTTTGTGACCTCTCACAGACATTGTTTTTAAAACTAAGAATTCTGCAGCAGAATATTTTTGGAGATTTCTGTACAGTATTTGTAAGCTCTATTTTTGTATATTGGTATTTTGGAAAGATAATATTCTTTTTTGTTTGTTTGCTAATTTCATGTTTATTCATTTAAAAAGATGTTGCATGTGACTTACTTGAACTGTAAATAAAATTTCCACAATTTGGAAAAGAACAAACTGATATTAATGATTCAAAGTCATTTTGTGAAAAAGGCTTCTGACCACAGACTGTAGTTGCACAACTGTCTCACTAGTTTTAGTGTACACAAAATGAACAGGGGCCGCCAACCATTTTAACTGTGCTATATTGTACAAAATAGCTTATTTCACTGCCTTTCTTGGCAACTCGAGCTTTAACAAGTTGCCATATTTGATTATTTGTAACCATTTGATTTGGAATAGTTGTCAACATATTTAGTAATTGACTCATACATTTTTTTACCATACCTCCACAACCATAAGACGCTTGATGACTCTGACTGAGCTATACATATATATTTTTGAAAAAAAAAACCATTCTAATCAAATAACCACTTGTGTTACATCTAGTCTCATGGAGATGGCCTGACTGGCCGAGCAGAGCAAGACTCAAAGCTCACCTTGGCCAGAATCATGGTCAGGCTACTGAGTCTGTGCTCTTGATGAATGATGCTCGATCAGTTGTGATTGATTCCGTTTGACATTGCCCTGGGGCTTAAAATGACTTATAGCTACTCACAGAACAACAATTGACTTAGTGCGCCATCATGATGAAGAGGACATGTTTCCCACACGGACTGCAAATTGGCTCATTCTCAGTGTGACACTTTGATCCATGGGCAAATAATCAAGGCTTTTGTACCAGTACACACCACCACAGGCTGCCAGTTGCGTCATAGAAATGATCCTCAGTTTTGAAAGGAGGGAGCCCATAATGATCAGTTCAATAATGTAATTTTAATTTTAAAACATAATACAACATGTATCATTCAGATTACATAAATCTGTCAACACTTGTGAAGTACATAACAAATACCCAAAGGTATGAAGTATTAAAAGAAGTCAAATTCAGCGTTCACTTTGACAATTCAATTTAAGTTTTGGTGAAAAATCCAAGCACGTCCCAAATGCATCATCCTTTAGTGGTTAACTATTAGTCATCACTAATTAACACTAAATATTTCTAATGCCTCATTTTCAAAACTCTTCCCTCAATTAAAGAGTAAACAACCCCAGTTTTAAATCATTTCATCTTTGAATACGCTGTCCTATTTTTAGCCAAGTTTGTATCTATCAAGGACTTCAAGTAATTAAATAACTAAATGAAGGGCAATTTTCTGCTGGACAGCGGACTGGGAACTTAAATCTGGTCTAGATTATGAAAGTAACACTGCTGTTGATTGGTTCAGATTTTATTGCCTTGTGTAATTTTCATGTTTCTATTCATCCACAATACACACTTTGAGCAGCCTTGTGTATGAATATTGATATGCATATTGCCTTGCCTTACTGACACACATTTAATCTACTGTGTGCTTTGGTCACTACTTCTGCTAAAGGTTTTACATAAATTAGAAGAATATATTACATGGAGGGAGCTCACAGAGATCACAGAATGAGGTTTTTCAGGAGCAGTGCGACAAAGAGGCACAGTGCCATGTTGTGGGGGTACAGGAGTCCAGCAGGGGTGGAGGCTGCACTGCTGCTGTTGGTGCTGTTAGTGCCCGTCCCATTTGTGACCAGGACAGTAGTGGCAGCTGCAGCAGTAGTGGCAGCTGCGGCAGTAGTGGCAGCCGCGGCAGTAGTGGCAGCCGCAGCAGTAGTGGCAGCCGCGGCAGTAGTGGCACCCGCGGCAGTAGTGGTAGTCGCAGCAGTAGTGGCAGCCACAGCAGTAGTGGCACCCGCAGCAGTAGTGGCAGCTGCAGCAGTAGTGGCAGCTGCAGCAGTAGTAACAGCCACTACAGTTGTGGCAGCTGCAGGAGTGGTGGCAGTGTCAGTGCTGTTGGTGGTGCTGTTGGTGGTGCTGTTGGTGGCCATGCAAGGTGCTTTAACAAATAACAAGAAAGAATTCTTTACCATCAACATGTTTGACATGAATGAAGTCATTACAAGTACAATTACTAAAATCTCCCTGTCTATGAAAGCTAAAAGTAGTGGCACTGCTAAAAATTGAACAAACTCAGTGTATTACTTATGAATCCTTATTCTGTCCCTTACTTATCTCGGGACACGTGAAAAACATGAAAATGTAAATATTACATATGGCCAATTTAAGAAGGGGCTCAAATGAACTTAAGCTCATATTCAAGGCCCTCCACAATCTCTACGATGAATTTATTTAAATGTTCACTTACCAATGACCAGCATTGCAATCAAAGCAATTGAAAGCATTTTATAAACCTTCTCACACCTGCAAAAATGAAAAAGAATAATCAATTCCATGCTGAAATATGTTCTATAGTATTGCAATTTCTTTCAACATCCGATTAATGAAGAATTCTTACCAGAAGTTCTCTGAGGATTTATCCGCTTCTGAAACTCACGCTACAAAGTGAACCTGTATCTGAAACCCACAGCCCAAGCGGATCATTTTATATGACTTTAGTTAAAGACATGTGACGCATGATGTGAATACCCAACCAACACTCATTCTTCCAACAATAATCAGGGCAGGGTTGCTTGACTTGATTTTGACACTTTGAAATATCTTATGAGGTTTTCACAAAGCAAACAGGCTGTGAGGGACCTAAGGACAGGCCAAGCTTATCTCTACAATAAAGTCACTGTTCACTGCAATGGCATTATTTACTAGTGAACAATGAACGTCACTAAATAAAAATGAGACGTCCAAATGTAGGTGAGAAAACAACATGTTTTTTTTGTCCTCCACCACATACCAAG